CCAATCACGGACAAGGATATTCCTGGTGGTAAGTGCGATCTCACAGTCAACTGATCGATCTATGAATAAAATCCATAAAAAAGATAATTATCAAGCAAGGTCTGGGGATCTAACATGCCAAACATAATTTTCTTCTCAAAAAGTGACTTTTAGAAAGTGACGATCTGATATATAAATTCTATCTGCATCTATGCTTTCAGTGATTTTGTTATGACATTTGATTAGATCTAAAAGAGCTTAATGTTGAATTCGTAATGTAGGTGGTAAACATATTGGGAAATTATGATGCTTTGTTATGTTACTGATAAATATCTCTTTTGTAGATAACATATTTCACTAGTGAATTATGTAGCCTCCTAATCTGATCACATTCAGTGAACAGTGATTTTGAAAAGTTTAAGTCTAATATATACATTGAACATAGTCAATTTTTCTTTTGACCAAATAAACTTTCTTTGGATGTCATTGAAATTTTGTCATCACAAAAGATTATTCATGTTTATAATCTAAAAGTATCTATTTGCACTATGTATTCACGTAATGTCCATATTTGAATTTCGTCAGCAGAATCCAATTAGCAAGATCTAAACATTATGTGCGTTGTAGACATATTTGAATTTGACAAGATTGTTTGGTGAACCGATAGAATGAAAGTTGTTACGATGATTCATGGTACAAATTGTAAGGAGAAACGATTACGGAATTCATACTTATTTGCAAATATAATCAGATTGATATAGTAGACAATGTGATCTGTAACGCACAGAGATTTAATCCTGAACAGTTTGTAATGATTGGGTTCATAGTTAGCCCTGAATCCAGGATTGTAACAATGTGAGATGTAGATGAGTACTATGATTTCGCGTTAGGTGAACAAGGAATGATTTTGTTATACTAACAAGGCAGGGCTGCTTACTCTCACCCTTTCTATTTCTCCTAGTCATCGACTGGATTATAAAGATGTCAGCATCTGGAGGGAAGCACGGTATCAACTGGACAGTCAGTGTAGAATCCTTTTTGAATGTTTTGTGTTTTGGAAAATCCCTCCATGTTTACATATTTTTGGTATGACATGACGGGCTTTTTCTGTTGACATTTTTGGTAATTTATTTGATTCCAATTTGAGATTTTATCATTGTATATTGTTATTCTTTCTATATTTTGTACTTATATCGAAGTTTTTATGTTTGCTTCTGAACTTTACATATGTTGTTTAAATTTGATATAATATGGCTACCGCCACATTTTTGGATTCGACATCGTGCAGTATAGGAGTTCACCTAGACCTCGGAACATTGATACTCGTTCAGAGTAATTTTGAATTGGAAGACGTAAATTTCGTTAGGTATTATTTGTCTTTCCATTTATCATTTATTAATAGACCATTTTCCCCTAGAATTATTGTGCTTTTATATTAAAATCGGGAAATGCGTCCGACCTACGTCTATTGGCATCGAATTGAACTGACACGATAGAAAATCCAATTACAGTCAGGACGCAGCTGAACGATCTACACTTCGCAGATGACCTGCCTCTTCTGTCGTACATGTAATAACAAATGCAATGCAGCCTCTTCAGCAGTAGGTTTCAGCATACATATGGGAAAAGCAAAATTCTCCGATGCAACACAAAAATGCATCAACCAAATCACTTTTCATGGAGATGCTTTGGAGGACGTTAACAGTCTTTACATATCCGGGCAGCAACATCGACGAGAAAGGTGGATCCAATGCAGATGTGAGAGCGTGGATTGGCAAAGCGAGGGCTGCATTTTTACAGTTGAAAAATATCTGGAACTACAAACAACTTTTAACCAGAACCAAAATCAGGATTTTCAATACAAATGTGAAGTCAGTTCTACTGTATGGAGCGGAAACTTGAAGAACTACGACATCCATCATCCAGAAGGTACAAGTGTTTATTAACAGTTTTCTACCCAATATACTTCGGATTCGTTGGCCAGACACCATCAGCAACAACGAACTGTGGGAGAGAACAAACCAGATTCCGGTGGAGGAGGAAATCAGGAAGAAGCGGTGGAAGTGGATAGGACATACACTACGAAAAGCACCGAACTGCGTTACGAGACATGCCCCCACACGGAATCCTCAAGGCAAAAGGAAAAGAGGAAGGCCAAGGAACACACTACGCCGAGAAATAGAGAAAGATATGAGAGGAATGAACAAACATTGGACAGAACTGGAGAGGGAAGCCCAGGATAGAGTTGGTTGGAGAAAACTGGTGGGCGGCTTATGCTCCATTGGGGGTAACAGGCGTAAGTAAGTAAGTAAGTAAGTAAGTAAGTAACAAGATTTTTTGACCAATGTCGTCGGTGAGTTATCGCATACGTCAATTACTTGAGTAAAACTATGAGAATATAAAACTATATAACAGTAGCCGAAACTGCTGTTATGGTGGCCAGTGTCTCTTTTGGGGTGTTGAGCGTTGTTAAGTGAGACGTGAATTGAGTAAAAATAGTGGCACTCATGTTGAAGTTGACAATACAGTAGTAAGTGAAGATGAAATTCATACTAACTACTAAAATTAAATTAAATTATGGAATATAAGAATATAACTCACAAATGAAGGAGTACAGCAATGAAGTAGGAAGAGTTGTGGAGAGTGTCAAGGGAATAGAAGAGAAGTTGAAGTAAGAAGCTGGATTAATGTACGCTGAAATCGAAATTTCAGTTTGAAGGGTAGAGTTTGTTAAAAAAAAATTGATAATTATTATTTTTTACTGTTTGACTGTTTTTTCATTGAATGACTACCTCCAAATCATACTATAAGCGCCTGAGTAAGCATGTTGCAGGTGTCTCGACAGAATAGTGACCTCAGCATAGTTTTGGAAACATGAACCACAGAAGTAGCAAGCGTATAAGAGCAACCTCAGTGTTACTGAAAAGTCGCCTCATCAATCAAAAGAACTGAAAGCAAACAAAATAATCTGCCCCACAAACATGGGTGGTTAGATGTCATTGCCCACACCATCAATGTTTACTGGTCAGTAACTCCACAATCCAATGCACTCTTAGATGACCGTATTATATCATTTTTATCGAATTCATGTTCCGTTATGTTAAAACTTACGATCCTGGCGTCATGATCTTTCCTTACAAGGTGCGCCTTTCTCTACAATCTGATGTTGCACTGTATGTCTACGATGGTTTCTTTCATATCCGACATCATCGTTAAGTCGTCCATTTTGTTTAGAAGCAATTTTTATGGATCGCTTTTATCTCTTGACAACCTAGTGCATCAGGTTTCGTAGTTTATGATAGAAACGTAGTAGTAAGATCAATAAAATACGATAACAAACTGCTGATCAATTATTCGACATTGAAAATAGTAAGTGAAATGTGGATAAATAGATTTAAAGGGTCAGATAAAACAAAACGCATCTTGATCTTAGCACGTGTGACTGATATTAGTCATAATGTTGGTGAATATGAATAATGTACAGTGATCTATTGTATACCTCCATTAATGAAAACTGAGTTCAATACCATCTCAACATATAGCAGGATCCGTAAGAATTCGTACATTCAACTCAAATGTGTGTGTTCAGAAGAAATTCGTGACATCTCTGTCGCTTGGTGGCCGAATATTACTTAACAAACCTCTCCTTATTATAAGCATTATTTTCACATCCTGTATTTGTGTGCAATTCTCTCTCCATTTCCGTCTAGTATTCACTGTTCAATTATTGACACACTTTTTATCAAACAATGACATAATGTTTCGTAATGATTGTTCCAAGTATGTTTATCCACCTTTTACCTACTATCTTCAATGTAGAACTCTTTATAACACTTTTGTTATGGTATTTCATTTTTCTTACAACTTCAGTACACCTGCTTTCCTGCTATCAACTTGTACTTTCACCTGTTTTGTGTAGTAACACAATCTATTTCATTGTGAATATGGACTAATAAGAAATTGCCTTGTTTGGTTAACATTTTCTGATCAATATTCATTTACAATAGAGTAAAGCCAGATGACTATCGAAATGAAAACAACACTTTTGTTCACATACACGTGCTGTTCTAATTTTCACAATGGGTATCTATAACATTCGAAAATCTTCACTACATGTATATTGAAACTCTTATCGAATTGAATGTTTATTAATTTTCATATAAGATGCCTTGAGTAGTATGTATATGCGTGACCGGATTGTTTGAAATGAAAAATTCATCACATTTATCAGGTCAATGATGTTTCCTCATTGTTGAACCAAATTTTAAAATGAGTCTAATTGTGTAGTTGATTATAGATCTTATGTGATTGAGGAATAATCTTTATTTTACATTAAGGTCCGACTAGAACGTGATGTTATTACAGGGTAATTTTAAAAGTATGTCAAGAAGATAACTAGCTTAAAGTGGTGTTTATTGTGATAGTTAGCAGGTAACAGTAATGTGTAACATTTCATAACCACATACGTTTTGTGTGGTGTATAGAGATCAAAGCACGAGCTGGTGATTCAACAAGATGTATCAAGTACTTTCCAGAAACCATTGGACAAGAGCAGCATATCATTAGTTCAATGCACAAGCAATTCAAAACAATATCAACTAGATGTTCTTTGGAAAGCCACAGTCAGCTCACAAAATATGAAGTCATTCTTGAAACATCCTATTGCAATACCATCAGAATTCCAAGTTTCACATCAACTTTTGTGTTTAGTACATTGTGATCGTGCCATGTATTTCTATCTTCAGATACTCTTTTTCTTTACAAATTACTCATATGCCAGCTTGTTAGTGGCATTCGCAATACCAGTCCCAGTTTGAAGATTTTTAGTCGCTTAACCAACTAGTGTTTTGTACGGAATATGCATCAGTAGAGCAGCAGAAGCAAAGGTCAAAGCACACACAATCACTTCAATGTTATTGCTTTTACAGTTTTGTTTGCCTGTCTAGAGAGGTTGAAGTAATATTTCTGCAAAAGCTAAGATACTTTCATAAATAGACAAAGATATTTTAAATAATGTGTTTATTTTATTAGCAGTTAATGAATTAATTAATTCGTTAGCATTACAGAAAAGTTATTGTTACAATATATGATTAGATTAAACAATTAGTAATCATATTCAATAGTGAAGATCACTTTCGTTTCTATTTAATTTCATCTGTAGGAAAAAATAAAAACAAGAACAATTCTACATGAACTATTAAGCTGTCAATACCATTCTGCGAAACTTCCTTCTTAAGATGTTTCTTTCAGGACGTGAACATACTAATAACTCAATCAAATATGATCTAGCCATTCATTGTTAAACTACTACTAGAAATCTGTAAGCACTAGATAACCAATCCGTTCTGTTATGGCACTTAACAGCAGTGCTCTTCTATGACTTGTGCTACTTGCAGGGTTCAGTCGCTTACGACTAAACCTTAGACCACTTAGCCGGCATCCAACAGTGTTGCCACTGGCAGTAACTGTGTACAATTGAGAGGGTTGGGTTTTAATGAAAATGTCTTCTTACTAAGATTCCTAAAACTTCCTGAGGAGAGCATTCGGCTAATTTTACGATTTTTCAATAGCGTTATGAATATTGTTGATCATTCTTTGAATCATATATCAGTCATTGTTGGACCATCATTTGAAGCCTAGAACCACTAGACGCTGAGCTCGATCGCTAGCTTCTATATAAGGACGACATAGACTTCTAGTCCTTTCATGTTTCGGATGATGGTCAAACATTGGTTGATTCATGATTTTAGCAACAAACAACAATTTACAGAACTCGTTATTGATAAATATATATGTAACCTTGAGACTACTGAACAACTATTTTGTCCAAGTATGGAACTCATTATCAATATGCATTCAGCCTTACGTGTGAATACAAGACTCTTAATTAACGTGTCAACATCCAGCAGTGATAATGTCTGACTATAACAAACAAATGATATTTCACCACCATTATACTTCGTTTTCGGTTGCTGAATTATTTATTTATTGCCAATCTGGTGAAGCTGTGATGGTCATGGCTTCTCAGTGCAACTTCCAGAATTTCCTCTTGAAACTAGTCACTGACGGAAACATCACAGATGTCTTTACATTTGTTTGTTTCACTTTGACAAAAGGAATTAATTCAAAGTTATTGTTAAATCGTGGTTAACCTCCCTTAAAAATTTCCACGTAACTAAAAAAATGCAACTTCTACTGAATATTTCGATACACTTTGCAGTAATATGTTACCATAAATTTACCTAAAACCAGTCGTGGTGCGCGCTACTTATAAGTAGTATATGACGCGAGTGTGAACGTAATGTCTGGCAGAAGAAGATGGGGGAAGATCAAGAAAGCAAGAAGAGTGGGAACACAATGGAATTTGTATGAAACGCATGAATAAGTGAAATGTCAGACAATGGATTGATGATTGATTGAAGATTTGCAAATTAACAACGGTTACGATATGGTTTTCTTATTTTCTGAGTAACTCTGTAATTTTCGTTAAATACAATTCGGTTGCCCTCACCTGTGTTCTCCTTCACTAGACTATGTCAGCATTCAAGATATTCATCCAATTCAAACAAGAGAAACTTTTTTTATGTATAATTTAAATAAGAAAGGTTGCTTAATTTTAGACAGATTCATTACTTACGTAATTTATTCATTGAAACAAGTCGATAGTGAATATCTTGTAGAAAAGCTCGTTCAACTAGTAGAATAGATGTAAAGTAAACAAACCAGATTATTGTTCATTCAAAGAAATACCAAACAAAAAAAATAATTTCAATGGAATTCTAAATTTTTGATTCCAATGACCAATCAATTACATTTCATTACATAAATGTTGACAATTTCACAAATTATCTCTGTTATCTTTGTAAGTGTTACTCAGGGATACTACCCCTAACTCAGGTCTTATATGGTCGAAAAATGAAAATTTCGGAAACGCAAAAAAAATCATTGCCCGACATGAGACAAAGGGTAATAGAAGTGTTTGGGCCTATTTGCATCAAGCTGGGCTGCCTCTTCTACTATCCTGCTCCATATATTTGTATGCCATATGCTATACTGCTATATAGAGCTGAAGGTCTCCTATGAGATTAGAGGTTCGCTGTGTATATTGTGGATGGCTTTGGTAAGCATTGTTAACAGTCCATATACAAAAATTTGGGGCCATTGTCATCGGGGTGCTGTATTACATATCACCATTGCTAATAATAATGAGTTTGATAGTCATGTAAGCGGGATGAGTCGAAATGGCCTATTCATGCGGTGCATGTTGATTGACGCGATCATTGATCGGAAATATATATACCATTGTGTGTATATGAAACGGTGTGAATGGTCCACCAGGGTATCAGATACCTGCGTGGTTGCACCACAAGATTGAACCGAACTGTTCATTTAGTAATGGTAAAACGTGTCCAGTCTCTATGGTTCTCCTGAAAACAAATGTAAAATTGCCCTAGAAAATACAAGGTAAATTTATATAATTTTGAATATAATATTTTTATATTAAAGTGTTACTCACCGAGATAGTAATTGAATGCACGAACGTGACGATTTAGCATGATAATCGTATCATCTAAATTTCCAATAGCTGAGAAAGAAATACAAATTCAGGACAAAAAATCAAATTTGCAATCATGTCATACAGGGTTGTGGAGAGTGTTTAAATTTCAGTGAGATCGTGAAAAAAGATTGATGTGAGGATTCTGGTGAAAGCTTGAATTTCTCAAGATTTTGTAATTTTGAGATTTTCTCAACTTTGTCTCGAAAAATACTTGTTTCGCGTTGCTAATGTTTCCTCATCTATCTTTTAGAATACAGTGGAGTGTTTCATGCTCTGAGCTGAATGGTTTGATTCTGGAACTTTGATTTTGCCTTTGAAAAACATCGTCAGCATAAACTTCAGAGAGAAGTGAAGTACTCAAATTTCTCTATGGTTGAGTTGTAGGTTGTCTGGCTAACCTCATTCTTGATTGGTTGCTGCTGATCGTAAAGCTTTCGCTGTCTGCACCTTTATTTTGACTGTATCCCTCTTTTTTGATCTGTTTCTTGATCCTTTGTTTGTTCATGATTTTGGTAAATTGGGTCAATGTCAATGTGAGTGAAAAGCTACTGAAAAATTTCCCTAGTGTTTTTTCTCCTCCCCATATCCAGTATTTCCAGATTGTTCCAATCGAATGTATATCCATAATTGTCGGTGTGTAATTGATATAAACGAAGACTTATCATTGCATTTGACTGTTAATTGGTATTCACATAAACGATACTGAAGAGGTCGTTCACTTTGTCGTATGTAGTGTTTTTCACAGTCTGAGCGGTTGTTTTAATTTTGTAGATGATATTTGGTTTCATTTCCTTTGTCATTTTGTCTTTCGGTATATGTACATAGGACTAATTCAAGTGATTCTGTTGGTTTGTGTGCCACACCTATTCCAAATGGTTTCAGCAGTCATGCTGTATGCTCCAATATGTCCTTTATGTATCGTAGGATAATCCATTTATTGGTTTCTGTTCTTGATTTCGCTTCTGTTGATGATTTCTGTTGATATTTTTTTCCATGAATTTGCTTGGATAGCCGTTCTTTTGGAAGATGATAATCAAACGATGTTTTTCCTTGTTTCTTAATGCTTCTTCGGCATTTGTGCTACAGTGTTTCTTCGCTGTTACAATTTGCCAAAAAATAATATGAGCTTGCTTAGTTTAGTTCATCATCATGATGAATTTTACAAAATCTTTAAGAATTTGAGTTTCAGTCTGATTAATTGATGACTATGTTGATAATATGGAAAAAGATTGAAAACAAGGGATTCAGACGAAACTAAATGCTAACCCACATTCTATGCTCCTTTGAGTTTGTTTTTTTGAAGTCGATTGAAGTTTGAATGCATTTTATGTTTAACGAAATCATCACTTGCATTACGGGGTTGTGAAGATTGTTAAGTTACACATTTTTGGAACCATGAATCGATGATCAATGTTAGACCACCACTAGAAACCTGGAAGCACTGAAAGACGGCCGTTTCGTCCTGGTATGGGACTTCTCAGCAGTGCGCATCCACGACTTCTGCACCCCGCAGGTTTCGAACCCAGGTTCTTCGGTATTGTGCGCGAACGCCTTAACCGTTAGACCACTGAGGCGGTATCTAACGGTGTTAATGTCTTACTTGATCAAATTCACGGAGTTGCGCAACCTCATACACAGACTTCGGTGTTCCCACTAGAACTCGGAGCAGATTCCTCACGAAGCTAGTCACTAGTGAGCACAGGTAATAATTGCGTTACGGGGTTGTGAAGATTGTTAAGTTACACAACACTGTTTAACATTGGACATTGAATCTTACCTGTATGTCCTTCATTAGTGCATCCTAAATTTCCCATGTCTATGAAAATAAAATGTATTGATTCGAAACTAGTTATTCACACTTCAGTGAAAATCATATTTTTCAAGTTTCCAAAATAGTGATTCATTGTTAAATATCTTATCAATTAATTTGCTTGTATCGCTTAAGTCAATACTTGATTCCCGGTAAAATAGATTGTATAAATTTCAGTTGATATATGTCATCAATAGTTAGAGACCTGGAACGACATGTCTCAGAATTGTTTACTGTGGTGCATGCAGGTGCATCCACTCTTTTTATTCTCTCAAATTCTAATCTTCTGAATTTCTCATCATCTCTATCTTACTGAATTATACTCTCGAATCATACCATCGCTCCCTAATCGTCTCCATTACTGCTGATACTTCTACTATCATTATCACTCTTGGATTTGAATTGACCATTGCGTCTCTAGGTGCTGATAAGGTAATGGCAACCTGAACTCATTTATCTACGTACAAAGTTCTGCATAGTATCTATTCTGTATTCCAGATAATCTAGCGAACTATAAAATGGATGATATCTTTTTGGACTTCTTCAAAAGCCTATGAATTATTGGTAACGTGCGTTTTTAAAGGACCACTTTGAAAAAAAAAACGATTTAATTTTATGAAGACTAATTTCAAGTGGTTGGGAAATGAGAAAATCGGAAAAAAAATTTGATACTTTCAATTCAGATTATATTATTAATAATAATAATAATTGTTATTATTATTATTTGAAATCATCAATCAATCATAGTTAGACCACCATTAGAAGAAACCTGGAAGCACCAAAAGACGGCTGTTTCATCCTGCTACAGGACTCATCAGTGGCAGTGCGCATCCATGAATCCTGCTCCTCGCAGGACAAAACAGCCGTCTTCCAGTGCTTCTAGGTTTCTTCTAATGATGGTCTAACAATGATTGATTGATTGATTAATTTCAAATGTGGAAAAAACCGAAAAACCTCCAAAACTGTGCCCCAAAATGATAATAATAATGTTCGATTCACAAAAAGAAGTAAACGAGAAATTTTTTTCAATAATAAACATCTTACTTATTAGTTGGATTTTATCAATATCAGAACAATTCTTCCATATTTCTGACATGGTGAGGTTTTCTTTGCCATTTTTGAATTATAAATAAATTAAAATGAAAATTGAACAAATAATTTTTTTTTTGGTTATTCGAAAATGTTGTACATTGTAGCACACTATCCATGTGAATTGTGAAATTACATCTATTGTATATATATATATATATATATCTTCAAATCTATGAAGTCATTGACGAGTGGACATAGCCATGTCGGTAATTGTCGACTACCTGGTTGGGATCCGCGAGATGATAATAATCGATGGCTAGAGACCTTGAATGACATGGCTCAAAATCGTTTGCAATGGCGCCAGCGCATTTATTCTTTGTGTTCTCTCAAATCCTAATCTTCTGGGTTCTTCAACACCTCTAGCTTTTACTTTCTAAACTTATCTGATTGAATCATACTTCGTGAATAATATCTTCTAATCCTAACCTCTCTGATTACTCCTAATACCTTTACTACCTCTTGTACTATTGGATTTGAATTGACAATTATATCTCTGTGCTGATATGTTATGGCAACATGAACTGATGTACTTACGTACGAAGTTCTACGTTGCAACTGACTGACTGACTGACTGTATATACATATATATATATATATATATATATATATATATATATATATATATATAAATATATATATATATACAATGTGAATATATATAAAATGAAGAACTTACTGTAGAAATCCGTTTTTAAAGTATTAATACGTTTATTCAAATCTAAAAAAAACAAATAACAAATGAAATTATTTAACAAAAAAAAAATAATAACGGTATAAGTTCAAATTATTTTTAGAAAATAATCATTGTACACTATTTTTTTTATCGTCAAGTATCATGTATGGATGATCGTTGACGTGTTAACAAGTTAATTATTGAACAATGAACAATGTTTGTGACCGGTTTTTTTTTTCTTATTTTCATACCTCTTATTGCCCACTGACCCAACTCGCCCATTCGTTGACTTGTTGTACAGTGTTCATCTGAAATCACAAATTATATATAATACAATGATTTGTTGTTAATCTATTTATTACATACACTTATCAATTATGTAAGATTGAATTTGTTTCTCTTCCTTCAATTCATCTGAAGAACAAAGAAGAAAGCGAAAAATCGATAAAATTATCTAAAAAAAGCAATGTAAGTTGAATACACAATTCAAATCATCATTCAATCAATAATGGTTAGACCACCGACAGAAACCTGGACGGCCGCTTCATCCTGGTATGAGGCTTATCAGTGGCAGTGCGCATCCACGACTCCTGCCCCTCGTAGGATTCGAACCCTGGGCCTCCGGCATTGTAGGCGAACGCCTTACCTTTGGGACCACTGGGCCAGCTTTCGACGGTGTTAATGTCTAACTCTGATTGATCTAGGGATTTTTCGCGACCTCACCCATTTGTCTTTAGTAGTTACTGCCTACACCCGACAGGGTTGAACTCCATTGGTCACGTCTTCTCAACTAGAACTCCGAGAATTTCCTCACGAAGCTAGTCACTAGTGAGCACTGTTACGATATTTTGGGGCAGAGTTTTGGAGGTTTGCGTTTTTACACATTTGAAATCATCAATCAATCATTCTTAGACCACCATTAGAAACCTAGAAGCACTGGACGGCAGTTCCGTCCTGGTATGAGACTTATCAGTGGCAGTGCGCATCCACGACTCCTGCTCCTTGCAGGATTTGAACCCGAGACTTTCGGCATTGTAGGCGAACGCCTTACCATTTGACCTCTGGGCCTGCATTCAATGGTGTTAATGTCTAAGTTGAATACCTTGACCTCCTTATTCAAATCAAAGTACTATATCAATAGTGTTTCTGGATACCAGCAGCCGTCACATTACCAGATCGGCGGAGATCAGTTAGTTGCAATGTGGTGAGTAATAAGGATGATAAGCATAAAATTTCAGAACTGATTAATAAATATATTACTGGAAAAATAAGAACGATACCTTTTATGTCTTTCAAAACATCTTCAGAATACGTTATACTAGTTATTTCATAATTTATATCTCCTAGATTTAAAAATCAAACGAGAAAAACCTAACATAAATGACAAGACCAGTTGTCAACCATAGTAGAAATTACGCATTCAATAAAATTGAACCTAGAACTGTGTATACACAAATGAAGCATGTACTATGTATGCTATACTATACTATCTTTAACATGACCTTGAAATAGTACTGTTTTTTTATTATTCAGTTTTCACATTCAATGTTTAGGTATAAATTTATTTCACTTCAACAAACTTTATTTATAAACAATGTCATACAATTCTGAATTCATATTATTTTTTGCACAAAAAAAAATATTACTTATTAAAATTTTTACTTAATGCCTATGAGAGTGTACTACAGTTTAGGCGTTGTTTGTTTGAACAAATATTGCTTCCACGCTAACAATGTTTAAATTAAACTCATATTGATCATTTTGAGTAGATTAAAACAAAACTGTTTTACACTAACACTTACTTAAATTCGCATTCAATTGTTTTGTTACTTTTGTTATTTTTTTTGATAAAGAAACTGCGAAAATAAAAACAAAAAAACATATGAACAATGGTACTGATGCTATTATTTATCCATTGTGTTGTAAGTATTATATCAGTAGTATGTTAGTTGGCGCTGATGGCCTGGTTTGTGAAGAAATCTCAGGATGGATACAGAAGGCTCGACTGGCTTTTGCGAACCTGCGTTACTAGTGGCGTAGGCGAGATATCCGTTTACTGACTAAAGGACGAGTGTACTGTGCAGTAGTTCGCTCCGTCTTACTTTATAGCTGTGAAACATGGCCGTTAAGAGTAGAGGACTTTCGTAGGTTACGGGTTTTTGATCATAGGTGTCTCCAAAGGATTGATCATATATCCTGGGACACCCTAGTGCGCAACGCTGTTATTAGGAATCGGGTGCTAGGTAAGAAAGGCAGAAACTTCATCAGTTGAGGTGGTTGGGATATGTGCTGTGTATGCGTAACCACCGGCTGCCTCGACAAGCTTTGTTTTGTAGTGTATGAGTAAGTTGAAAGAAAATTAGGGGCGGCCAAACCAAAACATGGGAGATATCCATGAAGTCATTGACGAATGGACTTAGCCATGTCGGTAATTGTCGTTTACCTGGTTGGGATCCGCGAGATGATGATAATCGATGGTTAGATACCCTGAATGACATTTCTCAAAACCGTTTGCAATGGCACCGGTGCATTTATTCTGTGTGTTCTCTCAAATCCTAGTCTTCTGGATTCTTCAACCCCTCTAGTTTTGACTTTCCAAACTTTTCTCACTGAATCAAAATTCTTGAATAATATCTTCTAATCCTAACCTCTCTGATTACTGCTAATACCTTTACTACCTCTTCTACCATCGGATTTGAATTGACAATTATATCTCTGTGCTGTTGTGGTATGCCAACATAAACTTATGTACATACATACGACGTTCTACGTTGCAACTGACTAACTGACTGAAAGTATTATGTTTAGGAGTAATGAAATTTCTGTTTTTCTTTTTAATCTACTAGAAAATACTTTAAAACACTTTTCTCTATAACAATTTGAAAATCGAAATTACATTAGAAAGATTTATTATTTTTTTTCGTAAATTTGTATTCATTTAGCTACATGATATTAAATTATGGGGATTTTAAATCTCCGGAATTCACTGGATATTTTCTGAGTGCTTATAGAATGCACTATCTATGATGCCATATATATATCAAGACTTCTTCCTCTACTTTGTGTGTGTGTGTGTGTGTGTAGCGTATCGTGTCACTAGATCATGTGTATTCGATCTAGTTAACCGAATAAAGTGAACTCGTAAAAGAATTCGAATATATATGAATTGACTAGCATAACATGAAAAGTATAACTATTGTTAATGCTTATGCATATTTCTATGTGTATAGCATAATGTAGTACAAATGTGAACATGATTATTCGTGAAGAAGAAGTAGAAGATAAATGAAGGAAATCAAAAAATTTTCACAACTTACCATCTTGTAGAGATGTTGAAGTGAACAGAAATAATGAGCATAAATAAAACACTAACATGCGGCACATTTTCAACTAAACGAAATCAGTTGATTCTTCGAATTTTATAACATTGACAAACACTGGTGATTGGTTGATGAAAAAACAGAATAATAACAAATAAATAAAAATTGGTTGGTTTAAAACAAAACAACCAATGGACATTGATTAAATGATCAAGCAAATGTCATGTATTCAATAAACTAGATGATTACGGAGGACAAAACTATGTAGAATAATCAGCAGACGCAGGAAGTAAAATGATAGGGGTATCAAGAAGAAACGAGGAGATTAGATGAGCAAGTACAAAGCACAAAATAAAAATTGAAATCAGCAAATAGAAACATAAGAAAACAAAATTCCAAGAGTATAGATCAAAAGACAGAAAGAAATGAAAATATGTGACAGAGAACAGGAATATGCAAACAATAAGATATGGTAATGTGTGAAATCGTAAACATCACTCTACAGCAACTATCAACCTAATAGTTTCACAAACACATTGAAATCTAACAACGACACTGTCACTCAGAGTAAACCAACATACGTTTCGTGAACTTGAGATGAGCGAGATTGACTACCAGAAATACCATTCTACTCATTTGATGTGAAATATGCTAACTTTGTAAAGAGCACAGTTTGCTATTTCGTTAATTAGCACGCTATATACCATTGAGCTACGTGTGTTGTGAATATGAAAATATATTAGTCTGCATTGATGAGCACGAAGCAGTGAACATCTGAAATGATTGATCACCTGTCTTTCATGCTTTTCCATTTCTCAACTGTTATATAGAATCCTGAACGAAAAAGTTACTGCACATTGTGCATCCCTGTTTTCGCTCATTTGTATCAAAAAATTCCGATTAAATCTCATTGCACGAATATTGTACAAATTGCACAATACCTCTGTTCAGATCCACGGTTGCACAGTTTTGAAAGCAAATCTATTTGGAAAGTGATACATTGCAATATTTGAGATCAGATAGTTCGAAAGTTGAACGTTATTGCTCATGTGTCTTCGGGTACTCGTGTGATCCTACAAGTTATTTGAACAAACATAGCTATGGAATTTTTTCGATTGAGTTCGACTGATGACATAAGCGAGTTTGTTCCGAATGACTTCCACTGTTCCAGGCATACTCACAGACATTGAACTGGTTTCCGAATTCGTTGTATATGAGTAGAGGCAGTAATCAATATTTCAGCATCCGATACACACATATGGTAATCATATTGATAATAATTAGTTTGTAGCCAACGGAATAATATACTCCTCTCGTGATAACAACTGTTAATCACGTCACTCTAAGAATCAGATAAAACACGATTCTAGATGATGTAGTAACTACAGACATACAGGATGTGAAAGTAATGAATAAAATAAGGAAATGTTTGTTAAGTTACATTGAACGACGAAGAGGCAACCATGTCACGAATTTTTTCTGAACACATATATGTCGGTTAAATGTATGAATTCCGATGGCTTCTGCTATATGTAGGAGATGGTATTTAACTCAGTTGTGAATAATGGAGGTATACTATAGATCACTCGAAATGATTCAGATTCACTAACTATGAATGCTGAAGCATTATGCGGTCTAGAGAAAAAAACGATCCAGAGAAATCGCATCTAAACGAATACGACGACTTGACGAAGTTGTCATATATAAAAGTGACGGTCTCAGACATACACTGCAACATCAGGTTATAAAGAGAGGTGCACCTTGTAAAGAAAGACCATGACGCTTGTATCCATAAAGTTTGTACATTACAAACCGAGAATTCGGCAAGTTGATTAAACTTTGTTTAATACGGCCATCTAGTAGTCTGTGAGCATCTCCATTAGACGTGGTACAATAATGAATGGGCAGTACAGACCATATGGAGATAATAGAGCAGCACTGTCTGAAGAAACTCTGTCAGATGTATTTACATTACAATATATCCACAGCATTACCAAAAACGTGAAAGGCAGTATGATCTTTTCGAAGATTCACCCCGTCGCACAGAACGATATACCGAGAACAGTCGTAATCTCTTCATTTGGATTATTTGAATTTTCGCAAACATCTTTTGCACCAACCAAAGTGTTCCCAACCTTCCAATGATTCATTCTTCAGGTCTTTAGAGTTTAGGCAGGCGTATGTACATACATCTACGACATACTTGTATCTAGCGCTACAGCAGAAAATCATCTATCACAAGTAAGGCAGCTCTTCATTAAACTACATGAATATGGTGGTTACTGACCAGCAAACATTGATGGTGTGAAGCATTTCTTCAAATTTAGATTTCAACGTACATAAATACAGCTTCTTAATTCATCTTGTCTTCTATCCACTTGACACTCGAAAACTCTTCCTTCTTCTTTGCTGTACTCATTCATCTGTGTGTTTTATTCTTATGTTCCCATAATTTACTCTAATTTTAGTGGTCAGTATGAATTTCATCTTCACTTACTACTGTATTGACGACTGCGAAATAACAGGTTAATTAGTGCTTTGGTTATATATATAAAGGCATTTTCCACGCTGCTGCCTTTTTCTCTCTCTCTTTTCTCCTTTTCAGTTCTCCATTCACGGTGGGTAATCCTTGGCGCCTCTAGTGAATATCTACCCTTTGAACATGACTGTCTGGATCACATCTCGTATCAAGCGCGCTCCAACTGACATTTCCCAACCAATCCACTAGTGATCGCCAAAAGAACCTATTGTGCACCTTCCTTATTTGTACTTTACTATTGAAAATGTGGCTGTATCATAATGTTTCTGTCAGTAAAATGGTGTAAATGTGCTGTCAGGAACTGACTCTTATACTTAATTTAACTGCGATAACTTTTACAGTATATTTAGAGCATTTGTGACAATTTGATCTAGCATGCAAACTGGCATGACTCATGAAACGTAGTTATTTGAGAATAAATTTTATTATTATTATTATTATGTTGCGAAATGCGAATTTGAAAAAAGCCACTGGAAGCAATAAACGCCAAGCTGGGAGAATATTCCCGAAAGGAAACTACGGAAATCGTAACTATTATTACTCAATTCACGTCTCACTTATCTACACCTAATACCCTAATAACGACACTGACCACCATAACAGCAGTTTCGGCTGCTCTTATATAGTTTTCTATTCTCATGGTTTTACTCAATTATTTGATAGGCACAATAACTCACCAACGACACTGGTCAAAATATCTTGTTAGTTTCACAAAAACACTCATACTTCACCTACCACGAAATCATAATTCTCATCTACATCTCACAATGTTACAATCCTGGATTCAGGGCTAATTATGAACCCAGTCATTACAAACTGTTCAGGAATAAATCTCTGTACGTTACAAATCACATCGCCTACTATATCAATCTGATTAAACTTGCAAATCGTTTCTCCTTACAATTTGTACCATGAATAATCGCAACAACTTTCATTCTAACGGTGCACTAGACAATCTTGTCGAATCCAAATATGTCTTCAACGCACATTATGTTTAGATGTGCAAACAGATACTGTTATATAAAAAGGTTGAATTGTTCTGTAAACAAAGTCTTTTATGTAATGACAACATCTCACTGAAATCCAAAGAAAATTTATTGGTCAAAAGCAACATTGACTATGTTCAATGTATTTTCTAGATTTAAACTTTTTAAAATCACTGTTCACTACATGTGACCAGATTAGGAGGCTACACAATGCATTAGTAAAAACGATATCTACCAAAGTAATATTTATCAGTGACATGACCAAATTTCATAATTCTGTAATGTAATGCAAATACGTTAGGTTCATTTAGGTCTAATCAAATGCCATCCTAAGAATGCTGTAGTATAGATGCTGGTTGTAGAATCCGATTTGAAGTCTTTGGTATTGGAAAATTACTCCACGTTTGTATTTGTAATTTGTTCTTACAGACTCTTTCTGTGCTACATTTGTGGTCACGTCCTTGTCGGATGACAGTTAGGTGTACTGCTGTTAGTCATACTCATTCTTTTGCTGTGGATTATGTTCTGAGAGTGAACCACGATCTGAGGTATTTAAAGGACTTTGCTGTGTTTGCATTTTGTTTTAGTTTCTATTCTTTCACCTTTATTGGATTTTTAATGTTTTCTACTAAACTGTAATATGCTGTTCAAATTGATACTTAATTATGGCCACAGGCATATCGGATTTGACACCCTGGGAGGTGAACCTTGAGTCTGGACTGAAAAGGTGCGATTGTGGACTTATACGGAAGCATTCTTCCTGAATTTGGAACACACTGTGTTAAATTGTGCTAAAGAAGAGTGTGATATTATTTACGTAATCATTTATATGAAGTAATTAATAATCGAATCGCTTCTGATCCAGATAAATCGCATTCTTCTTACGACAACAGGGAAAGTAGCGTATCTATACTTCGTTGACTGTTCTCATGAATTCAGAAGCCACTACAATTCTCCAACATTGATAATTTTCATATATCAATATGCTGTATTTTAAAAGACACTTTCTGTGAAGAAACTTGAAACGAATAATTTAAATTGGTGATGCTGATTCAATTTCTCTTAACAAGCAATAAAAACGCTGTTGCGCATAACATTTCATAAATTAATACCATGCAATATTATCGATTGGATCAATCCTAATAATGAATAAAGTGTGTTATTTATTTTATTTCGACCCAGTTAGCCTAAACCCAGACTTCTGACTAGATGTTCATAAATACACAATCTGATTATTCTTAATTTTATCAGTGATGTCAAATTGGTTAACGAATGAATCAATATTTTCAACCATGGAGTATGAAACTGCATCAAGTACAATTCTAGTTGAAAAATCAAACCTATTCGTCGTGAATAGCAAGCTCATTCAATTGATAATGAGGTTCATGTGTACAAGTATATGTTATCGTGAATATTGTTCCCAATAAAGACTGATCTTTCACAACAGATTCAAGCTAATTAACTTGATTGAAAAGAAGCGTAGTTGTCACATTCACTGTGAATACCTGCTTCTAATTTTTGTACAAACAATAAGCATTA